CAAGCATGAACTAAATGAGGTCATAACTCAATAAAATATTATTTTAATATGTAATTTATATTTACAGATATTTCTTCCTGTTTCATTGACAAAGTTTGTTTTAAACTTTCATCTTCATTAATCTGAATTATTTCACCTTTTGCATTTTCATCATTGTTCTGTTTTAAATTAAAATAATAAAATATAAAAGTACTTCTTTAATTACATTTTTTAAAATACATTTTAAACAATTTAAGTAAGTCAATATACATAAATAAGCAAATAAATAAATAAATAAAAATATATACATATTTTTTTACTTTTTCAATGTTTGAAGTATTTTCTGATTTCTCCACTTCTTTCAATTTAAAATTACTTGCTCGCTCCCTCAAATACAGTTGCTCTCTATTCACAAAACATTAAATAAAATCAAATATATTGATATATCAATTATTATTATTATTATTATTTACGGGGGGGTGCAAAAGAAGGTATACAGTTGAGAACCTAAGAAATACAAATGTTTGGTGTTCATTATTATTATTATTATTATTGTTTTTATAATCTTTTATCAGTTTGGATTCCTTTTTTTGTGATTTAATTTGTACATAATAATAAATGTTTTTTCTTCTTATTTTCTCACTGTATGTTTTTTCCATAATAACAACTGTATACATACTTTTGCATTTCCTGTATTATATTTTTAAATGTAATAAAAATAAATTTGTTCACTAATGCTCAAATAATCTCTAGCAATTTATTGACCCAGCAGATGAACTGATCACTTGTAACTCACAGGGGAGTTACAAGTGATCATGGAAACTCCTGTCTTAGAAAATCATAGCAATTATTAGGATCAAGGTGTGCCAATTGATTATTAAATTTATTCTGAACCTATAGAAAGGACCTGTGTAAAGTTCCCTTTTCTGATGTAATTGTTACAAACTTAGCAGTATTTCCAATAATGCAAAATTTGTATAATACATAAACAAACGTACAGATAAATACATCATAATCAGAGGTTCCATTTTATGTCAATAAATAATGATTCCCTCTAATAGGGAGCCTTATTCTATAAATAAAGAATACATATTGATTCAATTTTGATCACAAATTCCAACTAGATTCTAACTTACACAACTTCAAGACATCCTATATACTTTGGCCAGCAATGCCAAATATCCTATGATCCACTCTAACATTTAATTTCCATATAGCTTATCTTAAAAAACACTATCCATCTGTGAGAGGTATGATTTTGTGCATCTAAAACCTGTTTCTTGTTGTACAATACTTTGCTCTACCTTTTTACAAATATTGAGTCCATCATTTACTATTCAATCCTAATCTGGTCTTATTCTTTCTCATTTTTGACAAACCTTAATAAAAAGCTTTCAAAAATTTATTTACTCCTAAATAAACTGGCTAACCTTCCTTTTACAGAATCTCTATTATTGTTAGAACCAGACTCAGATTCTATGACTTACATAAATGTATACAATATTTTGACCAAATTCTTACAAAACTTTTCATGCTCTATTGCCTTCTCATCTCATCTATTTAAGAATTCCATCAGTCAATACAAAAAATATTTTATACTTATTTACACTATTTAGCTACTTAAACATATCAATCAGATCATTCTTTTCAGAAACCTACTTCAGGTGTAGAACACTCCTTAGACTTCAATTACTTTAAGTGACATTGTAAAAGGTTGCTATATAATATAGATAAGCAGTCAAAAGTTTTTACTGAACTTTGTTATAATATATACTCTTTTTGGTTTTCATATTTCAATTTTTATTGTATTTTAATGTATTTTTGTTATTATAATTTATCTTTTATTTGGGTTTGAATATGGAGGTATATATATATATTTTTTTTAACTGTATATTACATACTTTTATTAAAAGTTTTTTAATTAACTTACTTTACTCTAATTAATTCGCTGTGTAATTTTTCAATTTGAGTTTTATGTTTTCCTTCATTCAATTTCTTTTGCTTTTGAACTGTTTTTAATTCTAAATATAGCCTTTCATTTTCTTGTTGATATCCTTGTAACAGACGTTCCTGTTCCTTTAATTCTTTTTCTTGCTGATGAATACATTGTTTCATGCTAGAAATTTCTTCATTAGAAAATTTATTGCTTGATGAATGATGCAATTCCATTTCTTCAAGCTGGAAAAAATATAACTTCTTATTTATCATTGTTATTTATTTTAAGATTATTACTAACTGCATAATTCAACTATACCCTTGCTGATAAAATTATTTTTTCTTGGTGTAATTTATTAGTGTTTTCTTCCAATTGTAATCTCTGTTCTAACAATTTATTTTCTATCTCTTTTTCTACATTTAATAAACGACCTAAAAAATTATTTTTATTACATTTTTTCCAACACAAATTTATATTATAGTATAAACTTATAGTATAAAATGTATATACTTTTTAATTTAACATTTTCCTTTTGTTCTTCATAATACAAGTTTTGAAATTTTGAAAGTTTTTGAAGTAAATCTTTTTCTCTATCCAGAACTGGAATTAAAAGACTTTAGAATTAGTATTTTAATTATTAAAATATTTTTATAATTTAACAGCAAAAGCAATTTAAACATATAGAATATGAATTTGTCAGACATTTCATAAAGTATTAATATTTTTGAAACACATCAATTTCATTTTCAGATAAAAACGCGATTAAAAACAAAAAACAAATTTAAATAATAACCTATTTCCTACAGTATATTCAATGGTTAAATAAATTCAAATTAAACCAAAATATTCTTTCCATCACCAGTACAGTGTGTATTTCTATTAATAGAACTTATTAAACTGATATATAAGATTACTGCAAATCAGTCACACAGATTAAAATTGTTTTATTTACATTTACCTGTAATAAATTCAAATTAAATTAAATTAGCAGAATGTCCCATCCACAAAAACTACTCATAAGGTTGTTACAATAATTAAAATACTACAATAAAAGTTAAAAGTTAAAAAATATACATTGGATAAAGATGAACATAAAATGAAACAGAATATACAATAAAGCTGCAAAGATTTATCTTTAAAACCAAGAGTCTAAAAGATGAACTGTCATAATGACTAATTCTTCAACTTTTATAAATGGAATTTCATGAGTCTAATATCATTAATCTAGTATTGGATCTCTGGATCTGGATCTTCTTACTAAGCAGCTTCTTAATTTTGCATTTTAACAATCTAAAAGTGCTTTCTATATAATAATGGATATGATTACTTTGATGTATGTTAAAGGGATCTTGTATATACTTCCCTCTATTACTCACTGTTAATCTCATTTCAGTTCTTAATAAATCATAAGAAAAGATCTAATAACTTGACATTTGAACTGGGAAAGAAAGTTCATATTAAATTTTAAACCAAATGGATATTTGGATGGAAATGGATCTGGACTAGCTGTTTCCATTTTGTTCATTAAATGCTGTCCTAATTTCTTTCTTATATCAGCCATCAAATTGTTTATTAACTTTGAGAATATCCATATATTCTCATTGTTTCTTAATACATATTAACTTTTTATCATTAGTCGTTCTAAATGAGAATATAAAGGCCTTGTAGATTAGGATTCTAAAAGCAAGAATATTGTACTTAAATATATCTTTGTACAATACATCAAGACAGTCTGAATATCCTTATCATAAACTTTTGTTTATTTCCTCACTAGCATTTGTATATCCGTAAAAACCTTTAGTGTTTGAAGGAGAATCTTAAGCACATGACCTTGTGTGAGGCTCTGGACAGGTCTGAACCCTCACTAAAATTCATGTTAAAATAATTTTTTTTTAAAGAAAAAATATAGTAGTTAGAAATAGATTTTTTTATATGAAACACGATGCTAACTTTTAAACAATAGAAGAATGTACATCCGTTGACCATCTCTGGTTGGAGATCAAATTAAACTTTGATTTTGACTTCTCTCACGCCCTCAAAAGCTTTCGAATTGTCATCAGGTGACAAGGAGAGATCAATTGGAAAGTGGAATTGGAGGAAAATGGATAAAACCCAGACATTCAAGGATGCAACGACTTCTTCTCCCGAAAGTTCCAAGTGGTGGATCTATTGTTGTGTGTGTGTCTCACACCCATCTTCATCTCCATCTCCCAACCTCGGATTGACATCTTTCCATCAATGGAAGTTGACTGCATCATCCCAGAGTAGTCAATGGAACTGTTCATTTGCGAACAAGGGACACTCCTTCAAAATGAAACTATCTTGGAAAGGAGAGGAAGACCCAGAGGCTGCAGCTGACATAGAACTTCCAAGATCATGGAAATCTTGTAAGCTTCTTTCGTGTTTAATAAACAGGTTGTGTTGTTTTAAATGAGGCATCTATCTCTGACTCAACTGCGTCCACATGACATTGATTGTTACCGCTCAGCAGTCCAAATGGCAGATGATGATGATATATATCACATATTATCGTTAACTTATATTTTTAAAATTTCTCCCCTCCTTGGCCCCCAACTTGTTTACATGCACATGGATCCTCATGTCAGTGTTACTACAAAACCAACAGTAAACTGGAACATGAAGTGCAGGAGACCTACACCTTAGTCATACCTGCTATGTTGGAAAAAATGTAACGAAGGAGGTATATAAACTAGTGTGTCCAACATAACAGAACACATACTAGTCCAGAAAGTTTATTAACTTTGGATACAAATAATATAGGATACAAGGACTTCTCAGCTATACTGTATCTTGCATATATAATAAAGACAAGCTTATTTTCTAAAGATAAGAGGGTTACTAATCTTTCATTCTTAATGAAATATCTAAACAGTGCACAATAATTTTGGGTATCTGATTAACTTCCATAAACATCCCTACAGGATTCAAACTGTATTGTTTATAAATTACAAATGTGAAATGTCAGAATTTTTAAACAATTGAATACTGTGTTTAAATATTTAAATTTACCTTTATCATAATCATCATCTTTACTTATTTCCTTTACATTTGTTTCATCAATTTCAAACTGTTTGATGGGTTGATTTATAATTTCATTCACTTCTTTGGATTCAATCTTACTTTCTTCTGAACTTTTTAAAGTTGGCAATTTTTCATCATCATCTTTCAAATCATTTACAATAGCTTTAAAATATCCAAACATTAGTAATATTGTATCAATTTATATCTTTTAGTAAAAAATTTTAATATTTATTTAAATTATATTAAAAATATGTAATTTTTATTTATCTTTATTTCAGTTTCTTTAATATTCAATTTTATGCAAAAAGATTATAAGCAAATGAAATTTCAGTAATTTCAGGCAGATGACCTGCAAGTTATCTGTGTTTGAAAGCTAATTTGAAAGGGGATGCAGGCTATATGCCAATTTTAAATTCCAATCATGAGTTGATTCACACTATACAATTAGCTGGTGGCAAGCAACCAACTGTTGAACCAACAATTACTTATTCATAAGCAAGATATTACACCAAGTGTAATATCTTGCTTATGAGTAAGTAATATCTTGCTTATAAGTTTACATTTAACTATGATATACTCCTCACTGTTTTTTACAATCCTGATCCATTTTGATGGATTAAGATTTAATTTTTAAAAAAATACTTGCAATTATGATACAGATTAATCTTCAGTCTAATAGAAAATACAAAAACTGAAAAAAAAAATTGAATTTTACGAAATTAAAATATTAATCCAAGAAAAACTCATGACAAAATCCTGTTGTTTTTTAAAAGGTTACAATATTTTGAACAAAATTAAACAGAAAATAATTTTGATATTAATTAATAATAAAGTTATTTTCTGTTTAATTTTTTCTGTTGTTGTTGTTATTATTATTATTATTATTATGTTGGGTTTAGTGAGTTATACGCAATTGACACTGATGGCTGTGTATTATGCTGGACTAGAGTCAAGGCATAGCAACTAAAACAAGACAAAAATTAAATAAGTGTGTCAGTGTCTGTGTCTGTATTCAAGAATTTCCTAACAATATCACATGTATTCAATATAGTGGCCTTCTGTAGTGTGATGTATGTGTTTCTTTTCAATTGTAATGTTCCCAAGCTTTTATGTAGTGTGTGTGGTATCACACCTGTACAGGAGAGAACGACAGGTACAGGAGAGGATGGACAGGTACAAGCACCCTATCAAGGTACAAGCATCCTCCACAGATGCCTTATCTCCTGGGCAAGTTCCGTGTACTTGCTGATTTTTTCAGTGCATGTGTTTTGTATATTGTGACTGTTTGGAATGGATATGTCTATAATGTATGTGATTTTATTGTGTTTGTCAATGAGTGTGATGTCTGGTCTGTTGTGGTAAATTGTTTTATCTGTGATTATGGCTCTGTCATAGTACATTTTGTGTATGTTGTTTTCCAAAACTGTCTGTGGATGTATTTGTAGTGTGGTTCCTTGATGTCTAATAATTTCTGTTTGTTTGCAAGCTCTTGGTGTATTATATTTGCTACCTTTTTATGTCTGTGTAAATAATCTGTCTGTGCCAAGAGCTTGCAACCAGAAGTGATGTGTTTTATAGTTTCTGGCATGATGATTTTCTGAATGTGTCATTTATCAGTGTTGTATCTTTGAGTAATGTTTCTATAAGTTAAGTACCCTATACTGTCCATCAAAGCATAGTCTTTACTAGTTTTTAGTATTTATGACCTGATCCTGTATGGTAATCATGAATCCTTCCATCTCCCTAAAGAGGCATCCCTGAGTTAGCCAGCTGTTTGATGCAGTTCTGTCAACAAAATCCTGGGCCAGGTTGTAGGGATGCCTGCCATGGAGTGCCTTTCAAACCCATGATTGCTTAATGGTGTCTATGCTTTTTATATATTATGCCGTGTCCATATGTAAATTTAATGGTGTGTTATTTGAGTCTGCTAGAGTTACTGCTTTATGTAACTGCGTTGTTTCTTGTGCTTTGGCTGCAAGTTTTTGTTTTAGGGAATCAATGTATTCTGTAATATGTGTGTTGTGATGTTCATGTTTTGTGTGTGGTTTGATTTTCATGAAAATGTTTTTGCGTTGTTTCTTTAATTTGGGTGTTATGTTGCTTTTAGTGTATTGTGCCAGCCTGCCTAATTGCTGTCTAATGTCATTTATTTGTGTTTCTATTCTTGTTTGCTGTTACGATATGTACTGGTGGCGACACATAGCGGCCAACAAAAAACGAAAGTCGTCTGTCGTCTGTCATACAGTCCATAACGAGTGTCTCCTCTTTAGTAGTAATAAATAATAATTTAAGTTTTGTCAGTCTTGTGCATTATACAACATATAATATAACATGGTGTCAGAATTATAGTCGTCGTCGTCGTTTTCCTANAAATAATAATTTAAGTTTTGTCAGTCTTGTGCATTATACAACATATAATATAACATGGTGTCAGAATTATAGTCGTCGTCGTCGTCGTTTTCCTACTAGCAGCAGCTCGAAATAATGAGTTCACTGGTCAGTAACACAGGTCAGCCATCTTTAACTTTATCCCGTTTAAATGGTCAACAGGAACTATCCGGCAATCCAGTTCCATCGTTATTATTAGAAGGAAATTTAGCTCATAACTGGTCAATCTGGTAACAGAAATTTAAAATATTTTTGCGCGCTAGTAATTTAGAAAATGAAACTGATTCCCGTAAAGTCGCCATATTTTTACGTTTTGTGGGAGAAGACGTGTTACAGGTTTTCAATTCCTTTAACTTGGATATGGACAATTGTCAATATTTGGATGTAGTAAAAAAATTTGAGTCTCATTGCAAACCTAAAACTAATCTCACGATTGAGAGATATAATTTTTTGACCAGAAGACAAAAACCAGACGAGTCAATCGAAGACTTCGTAACTGCACTAAAGAACCTAAGCCTAACGTGCGAGTTTGATAATCTCCGAGAGAGTTTGGTCTGAGACATGTTTATTGTAGGTTTGTCATCAAATAATAAAGTCATCAGAGCTAGGCTACTTCAGGAAGAAGGCTTAACCTTAACGAAGGCCATCGGCATAGCCAAAAGTATTGAAATTACTCATCGTCAGGCGGAGCAGATTGAAAAGAACAGTGATGCACAGATACTCAAAGTTGAAAAGTTCAAT